CAGTTAACGTTGTCCAACAATTTGCTCACAAGCTTACAACCGGAAACTTTTTCGGGTTTGAAAAGTCTGCAACGGTTGGATTTATCTCGGAACCGATTGCATATAATTGCTCAGTATGCATTCGATGGCATACCGGAATTGATTTCTCTTGATCTCAGCAACAATAACCTTACGCAAGTTAGTTATTTCCTGTGCTTTTCGCATAATCATGAATTCTCAGAATATCGTAAAAGGCAGCTATTGCCAACTCTAAAATGCATTATAATTGTTGATTTCAAAGGCTCAAGCACCACTTACCATCAACGTTACCAGTAGTCATTTGATAATGGTCATAAGGTATCTCTCCATATGCCTACAAATTTAATTTACTATTACCGTGTTCATTAATAAATAACAAGTGGCCAGTGTCTAATTCGGGAACCATTTCAGTTCTTCTTCATTGCTAGGCACAACAATTTCTGATAAATCTTTTTACATTTCATTTATTCATTCGCCAGTACACTTACGTACTTACATAGATACATATCATGCGTTTAAATACAGAAATATAAAAAGAAAAAAAAATAAAAACTACTTTTCAAAACACCAAGCCCCTGTCACACAATCATAACATTCATGTGTACGGAAGTGTTTTCGCTTAGTAACATATCAAGATTAATACCGAAATTGCCAGGAATCTGATAGTTTGACATTCAGTCGAACAGTTAAAAAAATGAACTGGTTTTGCCGTTATTGTAGCAGTGAAATTTGCAGTGTTCTTCAGTAACTGGGAAGATTTCGTAAAGCTATGATTAAAAACACATGCTGCTGACCCCTTAATGAATTATTTCTATAAATCTGATTTGACAAGTGTAAGAATTGAGGTTTTGGGTGCTGAAAAAATACGAGGCGTTCTGCTTGAATTTAAACTTTTGTGAATTCAGATGGTACCGTATGCATTCGCCGGGCTTGCGGCTCTGCAGCGCCTCGATGTCAGTTCAAATTCACTTGTTGATCCCGTGTTCAGTGGCCTTAATAACTTGCTGTATCTTAATCTCAGCAATAATCTGGTAATTTCCATTCAGTTCATTTTGAGTTTGAGTACCTCTCGCTGATAAGCTCAAGATACGAGTCTCTTACATTTGTGGCATAAATTAGTTGTGACGCAGTATGCAAACCAATTCGTGTAAAGTTTTCCACTTCTATTTGCTACGTGATCGAATGTCCAAGTTTATTCTTGAGGGTAGATCTTGTAGAGTGAAACAACAGTAGTTTGTTCCTGCGCATTTTCAAGTGATTCTTTTGAACTGTTGTTGCTTTGACCGGTGGCACCAGCTGTCAGGAAATTCTTTTGATATCTGCTTAATAGGTGTGACGGATAGATTAAGCAGAAACTCCACGTTTCGGGTTTTATCTTTTTTCTCCTACGGCAACAGTGTATTCCATCGCTGCTGCATCTCTCCCTTCAACTGCCGGATTGAGCATGTTCGGCTCATTCTGCACGCTAAAACCCAAAACGTGGAGTTTCTGTGGAACAAGATGTAGTCGATTTCTGTCTTCCTTTTTGCATTTGCCACATATTCTCTCTGCCCTGCATTTTTCCGGGGCCGAGTGATTGCAGGAACATTTCTTTAACTGTCAGGTCAGTCCTAGTTCGTACCCTGTCTTGTCTCAACACCACTTACTCGGTCTTCACTTCCGCTCAGTATGACAAAGTGCTTCTGACTGAATTTTGTAATATGAGTCCGTTT